ATCTATCTATCTATCTATCTATCTATCTATCTATCTATCTATCTATCTACCTATCTATCTATTTATGGATTGGGTCTCACTATGTCCTGAAACTTAGTATGATACCAAGTCCAGGATGGCCTTGAACTCAGAGACCTGCCTGCCTCTCTGTCTCCCAAGTGTTGGAATTAAAGCTGTGCACTTCCATGCCCAGACTAACAAAATTTTTTTAATTATTTCTTTTATTTATATTTTTCAATCTTTTTATTGTTGTGTTTCATAGGCATCAAAGCTTGGTTGGACTGTTGGTTGTCTGCCTCCCTCCTTTGGAAGTTGAATGGCACCTTTTGGTACCATGAAAGCTCGTTCTCAGAGGAATCATTTAGGTCAGTTCCAGCTCCCAGGCCTCTGGGCCTATATCATGGGATCTTCAACGACAAGGACTTCCCTTCCACCTCTGGGGGTCAGCCAAGGACAGTAACAGGAGGCTGTCTGTTTGAAGAATCTCTTGGGCAACCTTGACCATCAACGCAAAAGAGTGTCTTAGGGTTACTATTGCTGCGATGAAACAACATGACCAAGGCGACCCTTATAAAAACAAACAAATAAACAAAAAACACTTAATTGGGGGCTTGCTTGCAATTTTAGAGGGTTAGTCCATGATCATCATGGCAGGAAGCAGGAAGACATAGTGCTGAAGAAGCAGCTGAGAGCTTTGCATCCTGATATGCAGGCAGCAGGAGGAGTGGTGGTGGTGGGGTAGTGTGGAATTTTGAAACCTAGGAGTCCACTCCCAATGACACATCCTTCCTCTAACGAGGTCACACCTCTCAGTTCTTCTAATCCTTCCCAATAGTTCTGCGCACTGGTGACCAAGCACTCAAATATATGAGCCTATGGAGACATTCTTTTTTGTTTTGGTTTTTTTTCAAGACAGGGTTTCTCTGTGTAACAGTCCTAGCTGTTCTAGAACTAGCTCTTATAGACCAGGCTGGCCTTGAATGCACAGCGATCTGCCTGCCTCTGCCTGGGATTAAAGACTGCCACCACAACCTGGCTTCAAATATGTGAGCCTATGGAGGGATTCTTAAACCACCACAGAGAGTTCCTCATGGTGTGAGTGCAGGAGTTTTGTTAGGTGACCTTTGGTTCTTGGAGTGAGCATTGTCAGCCCAGGTGAGAACATTTTGTTTCTGCCACATAGGCATATTTACAGTCAGACTTAGATGTATCATCGTTTTCTTAGGTAGATAGTTACAGTATGATTTCTTCTGAAATCTTCAAGAGCAAATAACATAAGAATCGAAGTTCCAGCAGATTTTTAAAGTTTTGCTTGGAACAGTTATTTCTTCTCATGGGTGAAATAGAGTGAATCTGTGGTGGTTTTAATAGGCATGACCCACATACACTCATGCATTTGGCTGCTTCACCCATAGAAGAGTGGTACTGTTAGGAAGTGTGGCCTTGTCGGAGGAGGAACTGTGTCACTGTGGGGGCAGGCTTTGAGGTCTCACATATGTTCAAGTTACGCCCACTGTGGTTTGTAGTTTTTCCTTCTGCTGCTTGTAGATCAAGATGTAGGATTCTAAGCACCAGATCTGCCTACAAGCCACCATGATAATGGGCTAAAGCCTCTGAAACGGTAAGCCAGCCCCAATTAAATGTTTTCCTTTATAAGAGTTTCTATGGTCATGGTGTTTCTTCACAGCAATAGAAACCCTAACTAAGGTAGGATCTATTCTTTCTCTACTCCAGTTTTATTGCTATGATAGGTCATTACTTTGTGATACCAGAGCTCTCCCCTCTAGCCTTTATTTCCCAGTTTTGTTTCTAGATCATGGTTCTTAGAATGGGGAGTACTTCGGTCACCTAGAAGACATGTCACAGTGCAGAGTGCTGGGCCTCCATCCAGAACTTCAGACCAAGTAGTTCTGGGTGGGACTCAAGAATCTGCCTTCTTGTCTGGTTCCTTTCCTGGGGATGTTGATTCTTCAGGCCTCTTCTACAGATTCTCGCTGCAGGAGATGGGGTTTCCAGATCAGGGTGCCATCCCCTGGGAGCTGTCACCATGCAGAACCTCAGGCCCCCATCCCAGAGTCTATGTCTGAAGATTCCATGTAAATCCCACACTGAATCCAGAAACTAAATCAAGGACATGAGACTCTATGAGGGCAGCTCCAGA